CCGTACATTCCTGCAGGCAGGCCTCCAAGCTTCAGAACGCGCTTGGCGCCCACGGCAGCCGAACGGAGAGCGCGGAAAGGGTGGGCTCGAGGCTTCAGCTTGCCGATCCCGCCAATGTGAACCGTCGCACCTACCTGTCCCCCTGGCCCTGGAGTCCACCCCCAAGTGTTTAATGTACTCGCTGTGCCTGAACTTCCACCTTCGTGAACGATGGGCCACTGCCTTCGAGGTCGAACCATGGGCGGCAACCGCCACTCCCTTGGTCTCAAATATCACTCGGCACAGAAGCTCCAACTGCTCGCATAGCAACGGGGCTGGCACGTCCAAGGCCGTCGGAAACCACCATCTCCGCGCCTGCCATGCATAACGTGATGTCATCTACCGCGTTGCAAGCCCGAACGCATCTCAAAGCCGCGGCAGCGAGGTCGAGCGGGTCGAGCAAGAGGAGCTCGAGGAGGGTTAGTAGCGAATGAGCAGCCAGCCAAGGTCGCCTGCAACGCGAACACCCCTCGCGAAATTACTTGCCCAGGGTAAGGGGCCTTTTGCCCCGATAGGCTTTCAAGAGGTACCGAAGAACGAAAAGGTTGACATTGTATGTGATGGCCGCCTGGGCCAGGAGGAGGTGGGCGATTTTTTCGCAAGCCTTGGTGAGGTCGAGGAGCGAGGAGGAAAATGCCATCTGAGTGTTCTGAGCGAATTCACCCATAGCTGGCTGTCCCCACACCGCCCTCTCATAAGGCACCCAGCACTGCCAAAACAGCAATCCCGCCTCTGCCCCCTTTCCCAGGAAGCTGCCGCACACCGCACCATGCAAGACAGCACGCGCACAGAGGCCGAGAACAACCCGATGGGCCTGTGGCCACCGTCAGGCTTCTCAATCATCGCAATCAAGATCGTACGGAGTTGCTCGGGCACATTTCCGAACTTTAAGATGACCTTCCATGGTGCCTGCCAGGGCACCAGGGCAATCGTCACTGGCCAGGAGGAGGTCCCGAGGGTGTGTATTGTCGGCCCCGAGCGCCGTCCTGACCTTGAACTTCTCACAGCAAGCACGGGTCGCCAACGGTTCGAACTTCCAATCTAGCATGCGCTCCCTGTCGCCTGCCAAGAGGGTGGCGATGTGCTGCTCAAGATACTCATGAGGGTCTCCATCTGAGTGGCGCCCTCCAGGCGCGGTCCAAATCTCCCCCCACTTGTCAGCGGGGGAACCCAGAACGTCCTTAGGTCCTGGAGGGGCCTGGTCGAATGCAAAACTAGAGGGGGTCCAACCAGTGGGGGGCATAGTGTAACGGTGACCTACCCCCCCCCCCGTTGGCTACAGCATCTTTGACCCGGCTCCTTCAATCAGTCTGACGACGCGAAACTTGGGCGCACCCCAGTCGGTCTGCAGCACGCCCTGCCTCAAAAGCAAGATTGCGGGGCTGCTGCGCTGGCGATTGCTCGAAGTCGGAACGAAACGGCCACCGGGGCGCCCAATCTGCGTCGCCCCGACGCGTGCGAGAGCCCCTGGCAATCTTGTTCAAGATGCACTGGGTATCATGCCCCCGCCAGGAAACCTCCTTCAAGCGCATGTCGTGAAGCTCCATGAGGCAGGCGCGGGCCGAACGCCAGCCCCTCGCCAGAGAACGCCTCGCAGGACACGGCCCTCCAGTGGTCTGAATCTCAGGAAGCATCGGGATACTGGCCCCATGGGCCCTGCCTCGGCACTGATCCCCGATGTCCCCGTCTCAACGAAACGCCCTGCACATCTCGCCCTCGTGGAGGCCTAGGACCTCCTGGTAGAAGGACCGCAAGAAACCGGGATATGATTCAACTTCGAGACGGCCAGCCAGAGAGCCCCAGACAACCGGCGGGCCAGGGAACTTCTGATCCATCACGCGGGAAGCTTTTGAGGCTTACAGGACATGGAACTTCAGGGATAGCACGCCGATCTCTGAAAACCAACTGCACCGCCCAATGAGGCTTCAAGGTATCAGCTTTGCTGTGTCTGACTTCTCGGACCGAGCAAGCAAGACCCGGTGGTGCCGCGAATAAGTCGAGAAACTGCCAGACCTGTCCACAGCGGCACGTGGGAAGCTTGGGCGCGCAGATGGTCGCTCTGAGCTTGGAATCCCAGCGGCTTGCGGAACGCAGTTCCGATCTCCCCCTCATGGCGAACGGTCGCTTCCACCAATGCAATGACTCCCCCAGCCTGGCCAGCAGGCGCGCGCCTTCAAACCCCGGCGCGCCCCCCCCCCCCCCCCCCGCCCCCCCCTCCCCCGTTCCGGAAGCAGGCGGTTTGTTTGGTTTTGTCGTTTTATTTTTTTTTTTTTTTTTAGTTTTTTTTTTTTATTTTTTGGTTATATTTAATATAAAAAAAATAAAAAAACTAAAATTTAATATTATTTTAAAAAATATAAAATAAAATACATAAAAACTAAAAAAATAAAATAAAAAATAAAAAAATTAAAATTAATTCTTAATTAATTTTTTAAAGATAAAAAAAAAATAACAAAGTAAAAAAAAAAAAAAATAAAAAAATAAAATATATATGGTTTGTTTATTAAAAATATTTAATTTTAAATATTATGGGTTGTTATTTATTGATTTAATGTTATTTGGTGTAAAGTGGAAAAAAACAGCCCCCCCCCCCCCCCCCCCCCCCCCCCCCCCCCCACCCCCCCCCCCCCACCCCCCCCCCCCCCCCCCCCTCCCCCCCCCCCCCCCCCCCCCCACCCTCCCCCCCCCCCCCCCCACCCCCCCCCCCCCCCCCCCCCCCCCCCCCCCCCCCCCCCCCCCCCCCCCCCCCCCCCCTAGCTTCCTCCCCCCCCTGGGACATGTGAATTGACTCGGCAAAGGTGGACTCTGAGGGGCTAGGCAGACAGGGCGCGCGGCCCCCAGGCGGCAAGCTCATTCCGAACGAACGACGACATCCGACGGCGGCGCCCCCCGAGAGCCCGCCGTCCTGGGCAATGAGAGAAGGCTTGAGGCTGCGCTGCCAGCCCAATTTCGATAAACTTGATTCCGCCTCGTTAACTTCGAATGGCGCCCCGGCAACCTACTGGGGCAGGAGGGCGACAGCGCGAGTTTCACTCGCTAAACAATTACAAAGAGGACCCCAAACTGGTCGCGCAAGCACTCTCTACAATGCACTCTCGACGCCTGGGGGCAGGCGGGGGCGGGGGGCGGATTGACAGGAGGAGGGCAAGAATGAATGGGGCAAGGGAAGGTAAGACCCTCCACACTCACAGAGACGCCTCGAGACCTGCTCAACATAATGCGGCTTTTATCTGCCTGCGAGCCACCGAGAGCGGCCCGTGCGCGCGCGATGGGGTCAAGCTGCGAGCCAGTCTCAGTACCCGTCGTCGGAGGCGATGCAGTTGCCCAACTCGCCTGCGTCGCGCCCCGAGCAGCGGCCGTGGCGCCCTCG